GGAATTTAAGTTGCTCGCCAGATCCGTAACACATTTGTCTAGAAGTAACGGAATTATCCATGAAATTTTCAGTCATTTCGTCGTTTAACAGCATACTAATTCATGTCTCTCGTTACCCACAAAACCATTCGCATCTGTTTCACACAGATCTTGTAAATTTTGTGTCCTCTTCTTCCACTCAAACTGTAGATACGCCGGCACAATCGCCTACCGGTCTTCTGTGGTCTCTTATCTTGTTAACCCAGAACGCATTGTTTCTGAACTTAACCCTCTAGTCGTAAATTGCCTTGTTTCGTCCTTGCTTTTCACAATGCTGCAGTAATTTAACTATAGTATTTGGTTCAACTTAGAGTATGTAGCTGCTAAATATTCACTTCTCGGGGTGCATAAAGCATACACTTGACCGACTGACTGGGGTATTGTTGGATCCACTTGAAATTGGAAAGATATAGGAAACAGATCACCCAGAGATAAAGAGCTCTAATCATGGGTAAGAGTTGGCTAAGGTCTCGGGGTGGCTGGACCGCGGATTCGTTTGATTCTAATTGATCACGGACCCTGGAAGTTGGAATGACTGAAGCAAACGCTTCCGAACGCATAGGCTAGGGGTCACATGCATGAAATCCTATCTCATTTTATTCCAATAGTTCTAACGCTATTGATACATTTTCTGAACAAAAGTACCGTTGCTAAATGGTAGACCTTTTACGCCATGAAATACATGGAAGTTCTACCACTGACACTATGCTATGCGCTGGACTACTTGTAAATAGTCAGTACATCCCTGGAAAATTTCGGTAACGGATAATCTATACCGAAATTTCTGCTGGTTGCCGCAGACGGACTGCGCTCTCATCAGCAGCCACCTATTAACTGTTCATCGAGGAGAATTCATAATTGACTTCATTTGAAAACAAATCGTTAGTTATCTTCCACGACTATTTATTGTATTTTCACGCACGATCATATCCCAAGCGCTTAGCTTATCATTGAATTATAGCTAGTCGTTCAAGGTTGGAAGTGCCCTCGGTGTATTGTTACATCAGATAATAGGTGTCCGAAATCTGAAGTGATATACTTTCCAGTGCCCAAACTGACGTGATCATCGCACGGTTACATGAGTAGCCGTTTCCATCCGGTTAAAATAATATTGCGATAAACAGAACTGATGAAGTTGCCATGGTAACGAAACTGTGAAACGACAGTGTTTGGAAACTGTTTCAAAAAGAGGAAAAGTATGAATTTTTCTTCCCTATATCTGTATTTTCCCCAGGCAGCCTTTATATGGCCGCAGCCCCCGTCCTGAAAGTTGGCTGTACCTTTGTATATTCAATAAATAGAAAAAGGAAGTAAAACAGACTTTCTATGTATCCAACCATGGACTTTAGGTTGTTTCAGTTAGCTAATGGTGACGAGCTAATTTTCTAAAGAGCAGCATGAATTCATTACGTTTACGGAGTATGGTTAAGTTGACCGCGACAGCGGTCCAGTATAGCAAATTTTTCGGCAGTTACCCGTTAAAATTCATTCGCATAGGCAGTTACGGCGTGAAATGGCTCTTTTCGTCCATAGCATTCAATCGAAACGTCTTCGCAATTGGAGTTACTTCGATCGACATTTATCCCCAGCTCAGAATAGTTTCGACTATTCCTGGTTTTACTCCAGCAAACGGCTTGTCACGAAACCTCATTATAACAAGAAAGTTGCTCACAGAGAGGTTAAGCTCCTTTGATGCCTTTTGTGACAATGACTTGCAAAGAAAAACCAAAATCGCTGTTGGAAATGATTGCTACTCAGAGAAATACAGATGCATTTCTTCCCGGGGAGGGGGCAATAAATGGAAGCTTTTACGCCGCAGCCACCACATTTTTGCTTACTCCGAATGTGCCATACGAAGTTGCATCCAACCTTGAAAACTTCCGGTTTTCCAAACGGGCATTTAATTTACATGAATGTTCGACAATTAACGCTAGGATTCGTACGTTAGAATATAGTTCGGAATGTAGAGCCGCCCTTCGAAAAATATTCTTAGGATTCTCATCACATCCTTTGCCTGCCTCCGGGCGCCGTCCATGTGACTACGATCCAACCCAAAATGCCATGGCAACTGCTCAATCTGTAAGCAGAAGTAGCTGAATAACGGTAAAAGCATAACGATAGTGATCACCATCGCAATGTTTCGGATGTCCACAATTCAAATTCCACCATCAACCCCATTCGACTTGGTGCGTTCTATGTTTCCATAAGCAATGGCTAAATAGCTGCAGCGTACTTTCTTCCTGCTAGTTGTTTGTACAACAGTTCATTCACGAAAGGAAGTAAAAAGATCATAATAATAACTAAGTATTAGGGCAGTGTTTCGGTCAGCCATATACCGGTTCCGAACAAGAGGATTCGAATACGAAGTTAACGTCAGTGCCTTTGAATCGCAGCTGAATGCTGCTCACGCTACCGATCTGCTTCTAGCTTTAGCTTAATGCGCATGGCAAAAATAACTGAGTGAGGAGTAACTATTCCTGGATGTTGTCAAAATTCTATTATTCATTAGCAGTGTTGTGAATTTTTTGCAACCTTGCTTACAACGCATTCGCCCTAAATTATGCGCTCGGTGATACCACGTAAAGAATATAATTCGTATAGACCGAAATCCGGGATGAAGGAAAGTTAGGTGTTAAACGGAAAAATCAACGTGATAACCCCTAAGAAAATGAAAGCAAGCGGGAAATAACGAACGAAATAACTATTAAAAATATCAACGAAACCAGACGGAAATACGCGGATTCATCATATAAAATTGCGGCACAGGCAACAGAGCGAATAAACAGCAAGCTTTCTCAAGTAGATTGGCGGCCATCTTCGCAAAGACTGTGTACCATTTCATGAAGTAAGTTAACAGCAGAGAGTGTAGCTTTCTCGGAAGCCGATTCGGAGTCTAGGATACATAATTTGAATTCAGCGAAGGAGTTCTCCAATCGGTCGGACAATTCCGTACTCAGCTGATCGTATTGTTGAGTGATAACTGCATAGTCCACTGGAGAGGATGTACTTTGTCCAATTCCGCTAAGTGGTACATGTTCGCCTAAGTACACGTCGATAAATGCGGGTTGAGGTAAACCACTTTCAATGTAGTTGATGAAAGATCCGGGGGCGACCTTTCCAGGAGTAGGGCCGTTCGGTGATTCGGATAGGTGGCTCAATCGCTTCTGGAGGGAGGACTATCAAGTGTGACAATGGCGTTAAAAAACAACAGACATGCGGTTATCCGGTCAGATGCAACGTAAAAGCAAACTAATGATAGAGAACAGGCCATGCAGCTGATTTTAAGTATACATACTATATATATGTATTACAAATTCACCTTTGAAACAATTTCGATTTGACATAAGTATGGCTATTCAGGAATAGTAAAAACCTACTAGACTTACGCGATATGACAAATGCACAGATCAAATGAAGGAACAAAAGTCGACCAATGTCTTTATTGAATAGGTCAAATAATTACGGGCCTTTTGTCTGATAGTACTTGCCTTCTGTGCATTTTGTGTACAAGCACATTGAAGCTCATTAGATCATATGATTTATTAGGCGAATGCCGATAACAGCCAAACTTGAAATACCCTACAAGCACAGAAAGAAACAGTTCTAAACGAAAAGGATATAGAAGTCCTGACTGCAGGAGAATCTGAACGGACGTTTAGCCGTTTTAAATTGATGCACAGCAGGCAGCATAAAGCACATAATCATGAGAAAACATTGTGATAATTGTTCATTTTCTTTCAACACGAAACCAATTACAGAGGACTGGAAAATGGGCGACTACATATGAAACAAAATCTGTAGAACGTGTTCATAGGCTGTGTGGGCATGCTAATTCCCAGCTGCCCTGACGGAAAAAAGGGGATAACCTCGGGGTCTCCACCCGAAGCATTTGGTAAGAAAATCAGACCTGCAAGACAGCAGGACGGAGCTCAGAGCCTGCTGTCCATTGAGGGCCGG